AATAGGTCCCTCGTGTTCAAGACGGGTCTTTCTTTCAGGAAAGATCCTTAGAAAGCTTGTCTCTCCAGCTGTCTCAGTATGGCAGCCCAACAGAGAGGTCCCCCACGGCAGGATGCATTTATGGAACGCGTCCTCCGGCCCCGCCATCAATGTCAAGCCAGGCTAATTCCCTTTACTTCCCTGCAAGTCCCTGCACTCAGCCAGCAGCTTGGGATCCTGAAAGGCTGATGCACTTATAGTCACGTTGTGTGGTACAAAGAGGGCTCCTCACAGGTCCGGCAGCCCTTGGGATACACGCTGCACAGAGGAGAGCAACTCAGCAACTCCATAGGGATATACTGAACCCCTACACATAAGGCCAAACCAGCATAAAAGGCCCTTCAAGGGGGGGTGTCCCAGAGGGTTTGGTTGGGGGTTTCAGCACGCTCCAGTATTTTTACCTGGGGAATCTGCAGCGAATGCTTTTGCTATCAGCACAATAGGCTGCTCACTCCTGGCTGCAGTTAACCTCACCAGCACCCCCTGCAACAAAGCCCAGCTAATTTTCAGCTCTCAAACTGTGTTTTGTACCCCTCCCTCCCCATATGGGTTTAGGGAAAACATTGAACCCACCGAGTCTCTTGGATGTGGGAGAGTCTGGGGGTTAATTCTCCCCCCACTGTTGCCATGTGGGTCACAGGGGGACAGGCCTGCCTGTAACAGAGCCGGGGGATCACCATGAGCTGAATCATTTGGCATGAACCTCAGTGAACAGCACCCGGCCTGCAGTCTCATCTCCTTGTGCCTCAACTGGTCATGAGCAGGTTTGGAAAGAAGCAGCCAGGGTGGAGCACAGGACCTTGATTCGCAGCTTGCTCACCCTGGTGTAAAGCCCTTTGAAACCAGCTGAGTTTCACCCACGTGAAAGAGGATGAGTCAGCCCCTCTCTTCCCACTGCCCCAGCTGCAGTGCTGGGGCTCACTGACTGCTCTTCTGCCTGCACAGCTGCAAGGGTCCCTTCCAGGAGCGCTCGACCAGCATAGCCAGCTGGACCCCCAGCGTGCTCCAGGTGCCTTGTGCTATCGCACAAAGTGAAGGGGCTCTGGAGTGACACAGGCTTGAGAATCTCCCAAACCTGCTGGACTGCTGCAGACCTGTGTGTAACAGAGGCAATGACCCAACTTGGGTCCCCAAAGGGCTAGCACCTCTGGCTGGGATAATGCTCTGGCCATCTTGTGAAATAAGCCATGGGGTGCTGGAATGCGGGCCTTGCCCCTAGACAGCACCTTCCTTCCCTGCACTTGCATTTTTTTCCACTACAAAGAATTCTGCTTCCTCCACAGCACAACGGAGAACCTTGCTGTGTATATCTGGGAAAGCCTCCAGAAGCGCCTGCCAGCTGGGTGTCTGTACAAAGTCAAAGTCTATGAATCTGACAAAAACTTTATTGTCTACAAGGGAGGATAGGAGGCTTAAGGGTTATGAAGATGCTTCCTGAAGTCTAATTCTCTCAAAGCCTAAAGCAGTTTCTGGACACATTGTGTTGACAGCGAGCATGGATCAGATATTGCGTGCAAATCTTCCCTTAGCAGGCCATTTGTTTATAATTAAGAGCGCTGATTCCTTGAAATCTTTAACATAAGCTATAAAGCAGCTTTAACAGTGTTCCCAGCAGGTTAGGTGCTTGTAATTCATAAACTTTTATAGCTACTGTAATAACCTGTGATCATTTTTGCAAATAAAACCTAATGGAGCATCATGTGTTACACAAATCACAACAACAGCCTTGGTGTCGTTGGCTCCAGACTTGACTTTCCCACTGGTATGTCTTGATCAAGGTAAATCAGGAAGAGGGGGAACTGTGAAGGTCACTTGGGGAAAAAGATTCTGCAGGGCAGAAGTTTTAACGAGTGGCAATCAATCCACATGAATGACTGATTTTGTTTATTTTTGTCATTGCTGTGACCCTGACACATCATTGCTGCAAGACATGCTGTGACTTCTGCCCTGGGTCTGCTGTTACCTGTCCTTTTCCAATCTATGGCAATAACCCCATGGCTTGCTCCATCATGACCTTTACAATAGCTCAGCAGGCCTGGGTGGAGCTTGCTGCAGGGATGAAGCATACTGGAAAGAGCTGAAGAGCTGCAGGTCAGCATTAAGGCCCATTAGTAGATCTAAGTCAGGGGAATTTTGGCCTTGACTTTGGCCAGCCAGGCCTAAAACAACACTCCTATATTCAAATCGCTGATGTGATTGTCAGATCATTCCCTTCCCCAGATGGTAAACAGACCCAGAAATGGATCCTGGTGACACATTGTATATGCTCAGGGTGGCCAGTGCTTTGTTACACCCCCTCCTCCCCACCCAAATAAGTGGATCATAGTGGCATGGAAGTTGTGATGGTTCAGGGTATGAGAAGCAAGATCTGTGGCGTGAGGCAGTTTCATTGACTGAACCAAGCTTCATAACTGGAAGAGATAAGAGATGAGCTTTGATATTGTCTGGGTTTTTTTTACACCACCTGCTGTTTTAGCTTGCTGATCCTTCTTTCTTTTTTCCTAAAAAAGTTCATGTTCCAAGCCAAATCAACTCCAAAGTCATGAGTCAGTCAAGAAACATCAGTGGCCCTACTACCAGCAAACATCCTTCACCCGCACCCAGGGCTTCAGATGTTTCCCAATCATTTGGTGGGCATCTTACAATCCCAGGGGTTCAGATGCCTCTGAGTTTCACTTGCCCTCAGCCATACGGCTGGGAGGAGGAGGAGGAGTCTCTCATTTCCATAAAGTGGGCATAAAGCCAAGATCTTCCCCCTGGAAAAGTGAGAGGTTAACTATACATGACCGTTAATCAGCAACCTAATGATCAAAGGGAAGCTGGGTGACAGTGACAATGAGCTGATCACCTTCACCATCTGCCATAAAGCTGGCAAGTCAGCCAGCAATACAGAAGTCCTTGATTTCACGAAAGCTGACTTTGACAAGCTCAGGAGGCTTATCAGAGAGGCCCTGAAGGGCCACAACCCAAAGGAGAGCGGAGTTCAGGACAAGTGGTTGCTCCTCAAGGAAGCAATCCTGGATGCGCAAGCAAAGTCCATCCCAACTTGAAGGAAAGGCAGCAAAAGGGCACAGCAGCCCCCTTGGCTCTCCAGGGAACTAGTGGACCTCCTGCGTCTTAAAAGAAAGACCTACAAAGGATGGAAGACTGCACCGAGAAGGAATACTCTGCTCTGGTCCAGACCTGCAGGGAGCGAACCACGAAAGCCAAGGCTTCTACGCAACTCCAGCTAGCTTCAAGTATCGAGGACAATAAAAAGTCCTTTTTTAGATATGTGGGGAGCTAGAGGAAAAGCAAGGGCAACACTGGACCCCTGCTAAACCAGACGGGACAACTGACAACTGATGCCAAGGAAAAAGCAAACTTGCTAAATGGGTATTTTGCATCGGTTTTTCACCAGTCCCTTGGGACACCCCTGCCCACTGTGGGTCAGGGAGGCCCCAGGTGAGGGAGATCCCCTGCCGTCCATCAATGCTGAGCTAGTGAAGGAACACCTTGAGAGGCTGGATACCTTCAAGTCAGCTGGCCCTGACAATCTACACCCCAGAGTACTCAAGGAGCTGGCGAGCATCATAGCCCAGCCCCTGCCACGGATCTTCGAGAGCTCTTGGCGCTCTGGTGAAGTGCCCGATGATTGGAAGAGGGCCAATGTGGTGCCTATCTTCAAGAAAGGGAGCAAAGTAGATCCAGCAAACTACAGGCCCATCAGCCTGACCTCTATCCTGGGGAAGGTCTTGGAAAAGATTATCAAAGAGGCCATCCTTAACAGGCTAGCTGACGGCAATATCCTGAGGGA